GGGGAGAGGGAGGGGAGAGGGAGGGGAGAGGGAGGGGAGAGGGAGGGGAGAGGGAGGGGAGAGGGAGGGGAGAGGGAGGGGAGAGGGAGGGGAGAGGGAGGGGAGAGGGAGGGGAGAGGGGAGGGGAGAGGGGAGGGGAGAGAGGAGGGGAGAGAAGAGGAGAGGGGAGGGGAGGGGAGAGGGAGGGGAGGGGAGAGGGAGGGGAGGGGAGAGGGAGAGAGGAGGGGAGAGGAGAGGAGAGAGGAGGGGAGAGAAGAGAAGAGGAGAGGGGAGGGGAGAGGAGAGGGGAGGGGAGAGGAGTACCCGTCCACCGCGTCGCCAAGCAGCAGCAGCTCGCCGCGCAGCTCCTGCCATCCCGCGAGCGACTTGCGCACCTGCTCGTGCGCGTCGATCACCAGCCGCAGCGTGAACTCGTCGCGCGCGCCCAGCTCGCTCGCGTTCGCCTGCGCCTCGGCGATGGCGTCCGCGACCTCGTCCACCGACGGAAGCGGCTGCGACCGGTCCCACAGCAGGCAGCCCTGTTCACACCTCACCAGTGTGAAAGAGGCGCGGTCGTCCGCAAGGTCGCGGGTGGACGGGCGGCGTGGTGCGGCACGCCGTGTTGAGGAGGCGCACGCGCTCCTGCAGCACGTCCGCCGACAGCAGCCCGGCGGAGAGGAGCAGCAGGTCGGACGGGAGCAGCGCGACGAAGGCCGGCTCGGTCACGTACACGAACTTGAGCCGCGGCACTCCCGGCCTACGTCGTGTGAGCGTCGCCAACCTCAGGTCATCTCTCCCCACATCTCCCCACATCTCCCCATACAGACCTCGCGCGGGCAGGTACTTGCGGCCGATGCGCGTGTCGTATCTCCCCACATCTCCCCATATCTCCCCATATCTCCCTCGGGGGCGCTGCGTTGTGTGAGTACGCGGAGACGGTCTTGTGCAGCGTCTTCAGAGCACCGCGGGAAGAAAGACACGGTGAATACAGCGGAATGCGGCGGAATGCCGCGGAGTGCGTGTCGCTCGAGTGCTGGTTGGGAGACAGGAACGCGTGGGGAGACAGGAACACACTGTTTCCGCTTCTACGAGCCCCGGCCCGCCGACCACGTCGACGGTGACGAACCCCGGCCGGGCCGACGTGCGCAGCCCTGGGTTCGGGTACCGTGGGGTAGGGGAGGGTGGGTTCGGGTACCGTGGGGGTAGGGGAGGGTGGGTTCGGGTACCGTGGGGGTGGGGGAGGGGTGGGCTCCGTAGTCCGGCCGGACGTCGGCGATCAGCCGCTGCGCGTCGAGCTGCGCGAGCCTCCAGTTGTCGGGCCGCGCGGCCTGGTCGAGGAGCTGCGGCGCCGTCTCGTTGCTCGCCGCGACCTCGCCGCCCATGAGCTGCAGCAGCCGCTCGAAGGAGTGGTACGCCGCCGCGCCTGCTGAGTGAACGAGTGGATCCGTCCATGGGACGTGTCAGCCGTCACCGACACGCGGGGCATGTCTGTGGGCGCCTAAGGGGTGAATGAGTGGATCAGTCCTTGAGCTGCAGCAGTCACTCGAGGGAGTGGTGCGCCGCCGCGCCCGGCTCGCCCGGCTCTGCCTGCGCCAGCGTCACCATCACCTCGCCGCCGTCCGAGAAGAGGCTGCCGACCTGGCGGGAAGGTTCCAAGAAGCTTCCGAGAGGGTTCCGAGAAGGTTCCGAGAAGAGGCTGCCGACCTGGCGGGAAGGTTCCAAGAGGCTTCCGAGAGGGTTCCGAGAAGGTTCCGAGAAGAGGCTGCCGGCCTCGTCCGGCGGCGAGGGCGGCGAGGGCAGCAAGTCCGCGTACAGCCGCTCGTAGCAGCCCGCGCCCGGCTTGCCCATCAGCCAGGTGTAGTTGAGCCGCACCTGTTCACAATCAGTCGCCGGTCCCTAGCCTATGGATTGAGAGGTCCCCCGCCCCGCAAGTGTTGTCGGGCCGCGCACCACATTCTCAAAGTACTCGGCCTGCGGCAGGTTGAAGCGGTCGATCTCGCCGAGCCGCTCGTCCTCGAGCGGCGGGAAGAGGAGGAACGTCTCGGCGGCGCAGTTGCTCCGCTGGGGACAGTTGCCGCCGCAGCAGCGCAGCTCGGCCATCGCGGCGGCCGCCTCGGCCGCCGAGACGTAGTAGTCGCCGTTGGTGTCGGTGGAGGAGAGGGCGACGCGGTAGGCGTACGAGTCGCCGCTGCCGCGCACGGCCTCGTCGGCGTCGCACTCGGCCCACGGGTCCGCACCTGTTCACTCACGCACTGCGTACTACCGGCTGCGCGTAGGAACTGATGCCCTCGGCCCGCGGGTCCGCACCGCGCGAGAGAGATATGGGAGATATGGGGAGATATGGGGAGATATGGGGAGATATGGGGAGATATGTCCGCACCGCGCGAGAGAGACGCCCTGTCTGGAGGCAAGTCGGTCGAGTAGCAGACCCGGCCAGCGGGCTGGCGGTAGGTGAGCTGCGAGGACCTGATGGCCAACCACCAGTTCATCACTCATTGCCCCACCGTTAAGGGCCGGCGGCAGGTGAGCCGCGAGGACCTGATGAGCGATTGATTCAGAGCTGGACCGGTTGATTACCTCAGGGCCGGCGGCAAGTGAGTTGCGAGCGCGTGTTGGTCGAGGGGAGCTGCAGCAGGTAGACGGAGCCGGCGCCGAGCGCCTGGAGTCGCAGTTACGCATTCACTGGTCGAGTACTCATCAGCAGGTAGACGGATATGGGGGAGATATGGGGGAGATATGGGGGAGATATCACTGGTCGAGTACTCATCAGCAGGTAGACGGAGCCGTTGATGTTCGGCTTGATGCGTGATAAACAGCCGCTGCTAGCGGAGACACTGCCGAGAGAGCGTCGGGGAGTGGCTAGGAAGTGTCTAGGAAGTGTCTAGGAGGTGTCTGGGAAGTGTCTACGAAGCGCCTTGGCCGAGAAGCGTCTAGAAAGTGTCTAGGAAGTGTCTAGGAGGTGTCTAGGAGGTGTCTAGGAAGTGTCTACGAAGCGCCTTGACCGAGACGCTGCCGAGCGACGCACCGACCTCCGCCTCTGAGGGCGGCGTTGACTCGACCGCTCCGGCGATGAGCTTCGAGGAGAGCGAGCCTGCGCGGTGGTGAAGACACTCGGCTGTCTGCGTGAGCGTCTTGGGCGCGGGGTCGTGTCGTTGCGGGAAGACGCAGGACATACGCGCGGGAGGACGGGACTGTACAGAGTCTTCCGAGCATCGCGTGCAGTGAAGACGAGGGGTACGAATGCAGTGAAGCCGAGGGGTACGAATGCAGTGAAGACGAGGGGTACGAATGCAGTGAAGCCGAGGGGTACGAACGCAGTGAGCACAGCGGAAGATGGCCGAATACGGCTGAAGACGGCCGAAGACGTGCCCTCTCGAGCGCCGGTTGGGAGAGCGAGAAGCGTTGGGTGGGAGACAAGAGGTGCGTCTTCCGCTTCTAGGGTAGGAGCCGACGGTGCAGTTCGGCTGCAGCACGACGGAGAGGGACGGGCCTAGTACCACACCTCCAGAGTACCGAATCCAGTGTGGGTTCGGTCCCGTGGGTGGTGCGGTATGGGCCGTTGGCGGTGAGCGACCCGAGCTGCACGCCGCTGGCGACGACGACGCGCGGGTAGGAGCCTGTTCACAGCCGCGGGTGTGTGAATGGGGCGCCGTCGACAGTGCGCCGACGTCGCGAGAGTGCGGGCCGGTGTCGAAGGCGTGCTGGAAGACGGTGACCGAGGCGGAGGAGGCGGAGGAGGCGGAGGGAGGGATGCCGACGGTGACGCGGCAGCGGCGGGAGCAGTTGGCGCCGGGCAGCTGCGCGCAGCCCTGCAGGCTGTGGACCTTCATCTGACGCAGCACCGAGCTGCTGCTGCTGCCGTCGAGCGTCGTGAACTCGCGGACGCTGCGACCTCGGACGAGGAAGAGGTGGAGGGAGGGCTCGTCGTCCGGCCGCAGGAGGACGTCGCAGCCTAGAAGCAGAGGACGCCAACCTGGCGGCGGAAAGGCGGTATCGGGCAGAGCATTCAGAGCACCGCGTGAGTACAACGGAGAAGGATGCAGGTGAATACAGCGGAATGCGGCGGAACGCAGCGGAGTACGTGTCCTCTCGAGTGCTGGTTGGGATACAAGAATGCGTGTTCCGCTTCTAGGGGCCGAAGCCGTACAGGCTCAGCGTGATGCCGTGAGCCACGTCGTACGAGTACCCGTCCTAGGAAGAGGGTGGAGTGTGCTGGACGTGTGTGAGGAGTGAGTGATGAGGAATGTGATGGTGATGGTGACGAAGCAGATGATGACGACGAAGAGCAGGGCGTGAGGAAGTGTGATGTGATGTGGGTGGCCGTGGTTGCACGTCGTGGCTCATCGTGCCGCCGCCGACGACAGCCGAGCGCGCGGCGCCGCGAGTGCTGAGGACACAGGCCTCTGCGCGCGAGATTCTAGAATCTAGGAGCGCCTCACCTCGACCAGCGGCCTGTTTCGCCACGTCGCGGCCACCCAGACCGCATAGAACAGCAGCACCCAAAAGACGAACGTGACAATGTGCCACGCCCGCATGAGCGCCTTTGCGGAGCGGCTCGGGCCGATCCGCTCGGCGGTGTTGCGCAGCTCGCCGACCGACAACCTCGACACACGCAGCTCGCCGACCGACACCTCGACGATCGACGGCGCCCGCCGGATCGAGGCGCGGCCCTTCTCCTCGCTCGGCGCCAGCGTGTGGCCGCTCGACTCGTCAAGCGCGGCGTCGGGGTCCTCGCCGACGTCGACCGGCACGTGGCCTGGCGGCAGGGCGGCGCGGGGTGGGAGGTCGTCTCTGCTGGCACCGTGGCTAGTCCACGATGCTCATGAGGCCGTGCGCACATGTGTCCACGTGGAGGCCGGAGTCCTCGCGTGTGGGACGAGGCAAGTCGAGCGGCCCGAGCGCTCCTAGTGCCGCCGTGTCGGCGCCCGCCGCAGCAGGTCCGTCGATATCGGAGAGCTCCGTGGAGTGAGTTCTCATCATCCACTGAGTGGGCAGTCGATGCCAAACGGGGAGCAGATTCGGTTGCGGGAGTGGAGGAGGAGGCAGCGCGGCTGCCGAAGCCGAACACACAAGGACCGAACGCAAAAAAAGTAACCCGGCTAGCTCCACTTTGCACCCATGGGGCGGTAGGGCTCTCTTGCCCGTAACACGTCACTGCATCCTCTGCTGGTTCCTCCCGTCGCCTCCTCTTTGTTCGAATGCTTTTCAATCCATCCTGAGATGGCGATCGCTGTACTTCATGGGGGTCATCAAGTGACCGCGACTGACAAGCCAGAGGTCGATACTCTGGGCGACCCATCGGATGCCACGAATGCCTGAAGGAGAGGGAGGCGAGGCCAGAGGCAGGCTCAGCTGCTCTCGGGTGATCCCGCTTTGGTGGCCGAAGGACCCGATGGTCCTGTCACATTCGTTCGTGGGGTCGCGGGGGTAGAAGAATTCGAGGTAGAATCGAGTCAGCACATCCTTGTAGTACAGCGGACCGCCAGGCTCGCCGGCAGCATCCGCAGGGAGGCAGCATATGAGGCACCAGTCTTCTGCGAAGAGCTCAACAGCTGCGGCCGCGATGGCAGAGTCGGCCGCGGTTCGAGCGAGCAGCTTTTGGCTGCGGGATCGAATCGCGGAAGGCTCATGCCCTCGCGGAGCGCGCGGGTGTGCGAAATGCGACAAAAGACGAAAGACGACAGGCGCCTGAGCGCTGTACGCCTGAACTTTTGTCGCCGCAATCGCCACCGCCGCCATCTTGACGAGCAGCGCGAGCGCGCTCGTCGGCGGCCAGCCGTCGCGGGCCGGGCCGAGCCCGGCCTCAACCGGCCGCGCCGCCGCAGCAGGCCCGGAGGCCCACATGGCGGCCGACCAGCTGATAAGGAGTTTGTTCTCTCTTCTCCCAAGTAGCGCTAGCGTTCTTTGCGAATGTCTCGAGATGGCCAGCAGGCGCTGTCTGCTCGCGGCCTGTGCGGGCCGCTCGTCCTCCTCGCCCTTCTTTCGTCCTCCCGTCCCTCCCCTCCACCATGGCCTCCTCGGCACTTCTTTCTCCATCCGCCTCGCCCTGCCTTTTTATTATTATACCAAAAGGAGGGCTACACGAGGCCCTCTACGCTGGGGCGCCGGCGCCCTACTGGGCGCCCCCCGCTCCCTTCCCCTTAGAACCCCCCATCCCGCTAGCCCCCCCCCCCCCGCGGTCCCTCGCGGTCGCGCGACGCCGCACCAATGGCGCGCTGTGCCTCGTCCGCGAGCGCCGTCCAGAGCTGCACCGACAGTCGCTGCAGCGCAAACGGCATCCATTCGCGCGCCGACCACGACGTCTGGTCGTACTGCCACCACGTGAGCTTCCGGCCCGCCACCTTAGCCACCCGCATCAGCAGCTCCTCCACCCCCGCGCTCATTGCGCCGAACTCCTCGAAGAGCAGCGCCTCCACGCGGCACTTCCCCTCTGCGTCCGTGTACTGGCCCTTGACAGCCTCGACCGTCCCGGTCCCCGTCCGCGGGTCCCACATCCCCACCCTCCCGCCCCTGTCCCCGCCCTCCACGCCCAGAACCGTCTCGCGGGCGCGTGGCAGCGTGTTGCCGCAAGCGACAAACGCCCCCATGCGCCCCACCCCCGAGGGGTCCGACGGCACACCGGCAAAGATCTTCGTGTCGCCGATGCAGGGCAGGTCCCCAATCACGCCCTGGTAAATGTACAAGTCCGTCCTCGTAGTGCTGTGCTCGCAGTGAAACTCGTGCTCCACCGCGCCGCGCCCCAGCTTGCCCCGCAGCAGCTCGACAAGGTCCAGGAGGACCTCCTTGTGCCGCGTCTGGTGGCCCGCCGCGCCGTCGTTCTGCGCCACGTCGCCAAGGGCGTCAAAGGGCAGACCGTGCTGGCTGTAGATGCCGTCCGCCATGACGTCCGTCATCATCGACAGGTGTAATCCGAAGCGGCGCTGCAGCGCGAAGCGCAGCACGTACGAGGGCAGACGGAAGTGCGCGCGGGTCGGGATCGCGTTCAAGGACGAGCCCGCGCCGAACTGGCTCACCGAGACAAACCGCACCTGCTCCCTCCTCCCTGCGCGGCCCGCCGCCGCAGAGCTCTGAGCACGCCTCCCTTCGCGGCCCGACCAACACCAACATCAAGTGAATGATGGACGTGGTGCGCACGAAGGTCCCAGCTTCACCATGTCCTTTCTCGACCTTCAGGTACTGGGCTGGGTTTTTAGGCATTGTGGGGTTGGCACTCCCATCGACCCTCATGACCTCCTGCGGTCTCTGAGATGGACACCAGTGGGTGTGGGACCACAGCCAGGATACACTCGAAGGCTGGGTAAGCAGTAGAGGTCGATACTCGACGCGTCCCACATGGTATGTGTCGCTGTCGGCACGCTGTCGACAGGACGTCGAGCGACACCGGTGGCAGTGCCACCCAGGAGTGGTCGGGCGGTCTCCCGTCATGAGAGAGTCACCATGTGATCCGTATGATGGTTCCTGACAACCGCCTCAGTCAACTTTCGTCACAGTTCCCGCTCTGAGAGGAGCTGCGGGTCAGTTTGACAGCTGGAGCTGTGTCGCCGGCGTGCGGCGGCCTGCCTCCGGAGGTGCCTCTGAGGTGGACATTTTTTGGTCACCGTGAGAGAACGCGTTCGAATTTTTACTCCGGAACTTCAACTCCACACGCGCACCGGCCAGGGCTACAATAGTGCCAGTGAGGCGAAGGCGCGAGTCGGAAGGCCGCGACCGCGTTTAGTCACACTTTCCTCCAATCGCTGTGAACCCAGCCACGTATGCCAACCTTCAGAAAAGAATCAAAAAAGTGGTAAACACCACACCAACACCGATCACCAATGATCAGCACTGCCAGGTGCGCTACGCACGTCCCACGCTGCGGTGCAACAGCCACGACAACGAACGAAAGAACTAGCTGTAACGCGCGGGGGGCGTGCGTAGGGCAGCCGGTAAGTACTGCCGCCGGACAAGCATTACTTTCCACGTGCCCCCATGCGCAGACCGGCGGCATTCGCACGGAGCAAACGCACACGCCGGTTGCAGCGGCAGCGCAGGGAAGCATGGACGCAAATTCATGCTCTGGGACCAGGAGCCTAGCGCTCACGAACCAGTCACATATCGAGCGATGAGCGTCGGGAACATGTAGTCGGTCTATCCAATTGGCTCGGCACCGATAAGCGAGGGAGCACCATCCAGCTCCAGTATTGAGCACTTGAGCACTGGATAGGGTCGATTCCGCGTGGTACGGGACCCCTCGATCGTCTCGCCCTCCCTCACTGGTATGTTCATTGGGGGGGGTCATAACAAACACGGTACAGGATCGAGGTGCACGCTGCCGAAGCAGTGTCGTCCCCCCTCTCCCCGACGGCGATGGCGGTGTGACCGATCGAGCTACAAGAGGAGCTTGTTCAGCAGGATCCGGGGAGGTCTGGCGCACTACCTCACTGGGCCTGAGACCGCCGGGACAGTACCCGTCACCGCCTCGGATTTGTGTGGAGTCGAACCACTCCGGGATGAGCAAGCTCATCGTTCTGAGTTGTGCTGTCTCTTGCCTGCCAAACGGGGGGGGGGGGGGGGGGGGGGCTTCCCAAAAGGCCGCCACAAGAGACCTAAAAAAAACCCCCCCCCCCCCCAAAAAAAGGTGCGGGGGAAAGGGGTCCCCCCCAAACAAAAATAATTATTGTTAATTTTTACAAATTCCCTGGGGGGAAAAAAGGGGGGGGGTCCTTCATTAATTCCTTTCCGGAAAAAGACCCAAAAATGCCCCCCCCAAAAAGAGGGGGGGGGGGGGGGGGGGGGGCGGGGGGGGGGGGACGGGGGGCTTGCGGGGGTGGGGGGGGGGGGGGGGGGGGGGGGGGGGGGGGGGGGGGGTACTGGGGGTGAGGGGGAGGGGCCGGGGGGGGCGGGGGGGGGTGGAGTGGGGGCTGCTGGGGGGAGCGGGGGGGGGGCGGGGGGGGGGGGGGGGGGGGGTGGGGTGGGGGGGGCGGGGGCGGGGGGGGGGGGGAGGGGGGGGGAAGGGGGGGGGGGGGGAGGCTGAGGGGTGGGGGGGGGGCGGGGGGTAAGGGGGGGGGGGGGTGGGGGGGTAAGGGGGGGGGGGGGGCGTGGGTAAGGGGGGGGGTCGTGGGAGGAACGAGCGGGGCCGAAGATAAGCAAGGGAGGTGGCGGCGTCGGGGGGGGGGGAGGCGGTAGGGGAGGCGGCAAGCAAGGAGTTGACGAGCGTGTCAAGGGCGGGTGCGCAGAATTCTTCTCTGGAACGATCCACCGAGCAGGCATCGCAGTCTCTCGCCGCTAACCTGTGTGGGTTTTGAATTCTTCTTTGCGACGATCCACATCGCAGAGCAGGCATCGCAGCCTCGCGGCGCCGGCGCACCACGCCCAGCCACAGCGCACTAGAGCCCTCTTCGCGACACAGTCCTGTCGCCTGCGGCGCCGTCTCGCGCTGCTCCGCCTTTGCCGCGCTCGCAGCAGCCACCTCGGCAGCGCGAGCGCCACCGAAACGCAGAGAGCCCAGACACACGGCTGGGCGGAGACACGCGAGTTCAGCGCGCGCCACACCGATGGCCTTGCCCGTCGCAGCGAGTCGTCTGTGTCTCCTTCCCGCCGCCAGCAGCGCGCCACCGCCGCCGCCGCTCGCCAAGCACACTGACTGCCCGGCGACGCCCTGCGCAGGCGGGAAGCGCCATGTCTGTGCAGGAGAGGGACCCGTGCCCGCACCGGATCCTCGACGACATTGGCGGCGCGTTTGCGATGGGCGCCATCGGCGGCGGCCTCTGGAACATGGTCAAGGGGGCGCGCAACAGCCCGCGCGGCGAGAGGATGCAGGGCAGCATCTCTGCGATCCGCGCGCGGGCGCCGATCCTCGGAGGCGCCGCCGCCGCCGCCTGGACAGAGGACGAGAGAGAGGGAGAGGACGCCGCACCGCCTCGCGGGCGGGGCCTCGACACCCCCCCTCCGTCTGCGCGCCGCCGACGCCCACCCGCCTCCGCGCTCAGCCCACCCCGCCAGCCATTCCTGTCCCGTCTCGGCGCCGCAGGCAACTTTGCAGTGTGGGGAGGGCTCTTCTCAAGCTTTGATTGCTCGCTGGTGTGGCTGCGGCGCAAGGAGGACCCGTGGAACTCCATCGCGTCGGGCGCGCTGACGGGCGGCGTGCTCGCGGCGCGCGGCGGCTGGCGCGCCGCTAGCCGCTCGGCCGCTGTTGGGGGGGTGCGCCGGCCGCCACCAGCCGAGAGTGGGCTGGGTTCTCCAGGCCCGCGCGGCTCCCCCGCCGCGACGCCCGCCCGGCCCCCGCGCGCCCGCAGGTGCTGCTCGCGATGATCGAGGGCCTAAACATCTTTTTGACCAAGATGTTGGCGGAGAACTCGGCGCCGCCCTACGCGCCTCCGCCGCCGTACCAGCCGCCGCCGATGGCGCCCGCGCCACCGACCGCGGCGAAGCCGGCCGCCGCCGACGAGGGGTTCATGGTCGACTCGGCAAAGTCCTCCCAGGCCACCTGATCGGCGTGCGCGCCGCCCTGCGTGTTGTGCTCTGACTTGGATCGGCGCGGCCGAGCGCCGCAGGGACGCTCGGGGCCGGAAGATCTTGTGCCTTGTGCCACGCTCACCCGACGGAAGACTTGCCTGCCGCGAGCAGGAACCCCCGAACCTACGGACCTGAGGTATTCGTGCCGGGCGCTCTCCGGTTATGTTGCGTACTGCGCTGCTGCCGGACGAGACATTGTGCCCATTTGATTCAGCGTCGTCAGAGACCTGCTTATATATTATTATGATGTCGCAAAACTGGTCACGCACGGCCAAGACTCTGCTACCCCTGCGTTCGTCCCGCCTCCAGCGCCGAGGCGAAGCTCCGCCGCATGCGCCGCTCCGCCTCCTCCTCGCGCATGAACTGGAAGGCGCCGAAGGAGTGGATCGCCGCGAGCGTGTAGAAGACGCCCGTCGCCAGGCACAGCGCAAACAGGAGGAAGCGGTCCCACGGCTGGTGCGGGTGGCACACCCGCTTCGTGAACAAGCCGCCCGAGCAAGTCTCCCACTCGACGGTCAACATGTAGTACGGCAACCACCAGAGCAGGTCGGTCGCGGCGGACGAGGCGAGCAGCAGCGAGAGGAGCAGGGCGAGCCACGGCTGCGTGCCCGAGTCGGTGAGCAAGCTGAAGAGGACCGTCAGCATCGACCAGGTGACGCGCGGGAGCCTCCTGGCCAGCGGCCCGAAGCGCTCGCCCTCCGGTAGAAGGAGGTAGACGAGGAGGTCGGCAAACGCGACCGCTGCGACCGCCCGGAAGGTGATGGGCATCGGCATGTTGTCGTCCGAGTAGGCAGAGGCCGGTGTCGGAGCCGGCGGCGGCTGCTGCTGAGCTGGGCCGCGCGCCGCCGCGAGGAGGCATGGCCGTGGCGGCGAGAGCGCCGCGCAGCTGGGCAGCAGCGTGAGGAGGACGAGTGGCGGCGCGCGCATATTGTGCCGTGAGGGCGCGCACTTATGTCAGACGTACACACGCACCGCACACGTGTGCCCTGGTTACTGGGCGAGTGCAGCAGCAGACGCCGGCGCCGCAGCTCGTGCAAAAAGAATTCAACCAGCCGAACTCTCTGGCGCAGCACACAGGTTCGACACAGGCAAAAAGACTCGTGCAAAAAGAATTGGCGCGATTATGTCCATCCACCGCATCGGCGCGCGCCTCGCGGGAGCTTCGCCAGAGCAACTCCTTGCCTTCATCGAGGAGCAGGCGCCTCTCTGGAGCGACGCCGCGCTGCGCGTGGCGGAGGAGCACGCCGCACGGCTCGTGGAGCAGCCCGAGTGGGTGCTCTCCGAGGTCCTCCTCTCGCCGGACCTCGCCCCGCACATCCTCGCCCAGCTGCCGACCAAGGATCACGCCGCCAAGGGGACGTGCCGCGCGTGGCGCCGCGGCTGGAAGGAGACGCTGAAGAAGCGCGAGAGGCCGCGCCTGCTCGTGATCGGCGGGAGCAGCGGCGGCGAGCTGGTCAGCTCCATGGAGCGGTACGACTCGTCCACGAATGAGTGGGAGGAGGAGGCTGTGACGCCAATGCCGACGGCACGAAGGTATGTCGGCGCGGCGGTCCTCGATGGCAAGCTCTACGCTGTGGGCGGCATCAACGACGGCTACTTCAGCTCAGTCGACAGCTACCTCAGCTCGGTGGAGCGGTACGACCCGGCGCTGAATGCGTGGGAGGCAGTGGCGCCGATGGCGTCGGCGCGGTATGAACCCGCCGCGGCGGCGCTCGACGGCAAGCTGTACGCTGTCGGAGGCTACAACGGCGCCGACAGCTACCTCAGCTCGGTGGAGCGGTACGACCCGGCTGCGAACGCGTGGGAAGAGGTGGCGCCGATGGCGACCGCACGGTATTCTCACGCCACGGCGGTGCTCGACGGCAAGCTGTACGCTGCGGGCGGGTACAGCGGTGTCTACCTCAGCTCGGTCGAGCGGTACGATCCGGCGCTGGATGCATGGGAGGCTGTGGCGCCGATGGCGGAGGTTCGGAGCAGGCTCGCCGTGGCGGCGCTCGACGGCAAGCTGTACGCTGTGGGCGGCCTCGGCGACGGCTGGCTCAGCTCGGTGGAGCGGTACGACCCGGCGCTGGATGCGTGGGAAGCGGTGGCGCCGATGGCAGAGGCGCGGTGTAAGCTCGCCGTGGCGGTGCTCGATGGCAAGTTGTATGCTGTGGGCGGCGGCGATGGCGCCTCCCTCAGCTCAGTCAAGCGGTACGATCCGGCGCTGAACGCGTGGGAGACGGTGGCGCCAATGAGGACGGGGCGGAGCGGGAGCATTGCCCTGGTGTAAGTCGATTCAGCACACAGGCGCGCGGGCGGGGGGGCGCTGAGTGTAGGGCTGGGGGTGAGTGACTGAGGCGCGCGCGCGCGGTGCTGCACTTGGTACCGTGGACTTGAGGCATACGGTACTGTACCTGTTACTGTGTCTCAAGGGCTGAGGGCGGGCGCGAATGCGCGCGCGCTGATGCGCGTTGGTGACTGTTCTTCCTTTTACGGGCGGCAATTCGACAGGCCTTTTTTACGCGGTACATGCCACCCACCCCCTGGCCCTGGGAGAGCGCGCACAGCCCACAGCTCGACGCTCTGATATCAACACGAACAGACCCATCATTGTATCACAAATCATGTGCAAATCATGCTTTTCTCCATGATTTCATAGAGCCGGGGTTTTCTAGATGCATGCGACTCTTGCGAGAGCTCGTTATGAGTTACATACTTTATGTGTGAGTGCTTGAAACACTCAGGCTAGTGCCATTTCACTCTGACACGCTAATCTTGAAAACGTCCAACGGAGCTCCGTGTTGCTTCCAGCGCCCTCCCCCGCGCTTCCTGCGGCCCTAGCCGATGATACTAGCATGGGAGGTCATCTGGCTACCGCGAACGCGACTCAACTCGCCGACGTCGTCCGATGATTGTGCCTCAAAGTCACCAGAAGACAAGAAAAACACGGATCTGACCCACGGCTTAAACCTGCCATGGCAGGTTTATTTGAAAAGCCGAGCCAGAAGAAAGGAACGCCACGCGGAGCATTCGCCAGTCGGAGGCGGCGTCTGTCTGAGTCGCGCCCCAAATTTGGTAGAGCAGGTGGTTCCATCCAACCGGCGGCGCGCGAGATTCTCGAAAAAAACCTGGTCGCTCGCACGAGCGCCCGAGGATGTCCCGGTGGCCCTGTGGCACGAGACCTCGAGAGAGTAGTGCCGAAGGCGCTCTTTTTGATCAAGCCCAAATCACTTTGAGAGGCTCCGTCGGTGAGAGCTGCAATCAGCGAACCCCCTCGCACTCAGGAATGCCCCTGCCCTCCTCGCCTCCTCCCCTCGCCCCGCGCGATGCGGCGCGTGTTGCCATTTGCGAGAGCGTGCCCGGCCGCTTCGCCCAATCTCCCAAGCGCTGCAGCGCGCTCGTGCCGGGCTGCCCGCCGTGCTGCGACCGCCGCCGCGCGAGCGGCTCGTTCCGAGGATCGAGCGCCGCGAATCTGGCGCAGCCGGATTGCGGGCAGCGCGACCACCCAGCGCGCAGCCGCGAATCGCCTCCATGCCTCCTGCGCTCCCGCGACGCCTGAAGCAAACCCGCGCCATGCTCATCCCATTTTACGCTGCTGACGCTCCCCCGCCGCCGCCTGCGCGCCTCGCAGATCCACAAAACAACGTGAGCGAGGCGGGTGTGCCGCGGAGTTCCTTGGCGCTGGGCCTCAAGTTGTGTACGCTGCGAGTAGGTGTGGCCCTCTTGAGCCTCCCACTCCCCAACTTTCACGGCCCTCAAAGACGCTGAGAGCAGAGAGAAGGAGCACTTGATGGCCCGAATACGATGTGCAGCAATCAGAGAGGAGATTAGCCGAGATTCAGGCGAGATTTAGCCGACGGCTCGTCCGTTAGTGCCTGAGATCGCCCCCCATCATAGGTACGAAAAATCGATCGAAATCATGTCAGAGAACCAGATGACAGTGAAGGTCGGCATCGTGTCGGCCAAAGACGGCCTCATCAAGGTCGTCATCTCCGAGTCGAAGTCGCCTCCGCTCCTCGGAGCTAAGGCGGTGCGTGTGCGCTTGTCGCAGATCTATCATCTCCTCCCAACACGCTCCCCATTCTCCCTGTCGACAGGCGAGCGGCGCCAAGAACGCACCCGTTGAGGACGCCACCGTGGCCGAGTCCGGCGCGGAGGCCCCCCTCGATGAGAGCATCCTCAAGAAAGACCTGGCCGCCGAAGAGGCGACCGCCGCGGAGACGGTCGACTCGGACCGGGCCAAGGCCATGTTTGCCGCCCACAAGCCGAGCGAGAACGCCGTTTTCTGGTCCAAGTTTGAGCGCCCGACCGACCCACCGCTGGCCCGCACCGGCGTCACCAAGAACGGCCCGGCGCTCGAGCCGGTCACCAAAGTTGCCACGGCTGTCAAGCCGGCGGCGGCCGGCGGCGAGACGCTGCCGTCGACCAAGGAGTTTCCGGAGGAGGAGCCCGCCCCGGCGGCGAGCGCCTGGCATTCTGCGCGCCGGCGTCTGCCAACCCACTATCTGACCCCGTCCCGCGTTCGATGCGTATAGGGCGACGCCGACTGGAACGTCTCGACCAAGGAGTTTCCCGTGGAGGAGCCCGCCCCGGCGGTGAGCGCTTCCCACCACTTTTCTCTGCACACGCGGGTATTGCGGAGACACGGGAGTCATACAGGCGGGCACTTACATTGATCCTGTGACCTCTGCCGCACGTCACGCGCAGGGCATCGACGAGTGGAAGACCGCCTCCCCGCTCCGCAAGATCGAGCGCAAGGGCGAGGCCAACCTGATCGGCCGCTCCAAGAAGACCACCAAGAGCCTCACCCCGATCGGCCGCGTCGACCCCAACGGATTCGCGGCGCTGCTCGGAACGGACGTCGACGAGGAAGACCTCGCCGTCGTCGGCTCCGGCAAGGCGTCTGTCGACGAGGAAGACCTCGCTGGCGTCGGCTCCGGCAAGGCGTCTGTCAACGACGCCCCGCCGTCGTCGACCACGCCCTCGGCGCGTACTGCCTTGCCCGTGCAGCGCGCCCTGCTTGTGACTCACCCTCGTCCGCACTCTCCAGGGCGCCGTGGAGAAGACCGAGCCGACCTCGACGCGCTCCGGCCTCCGCTTCGGCAAGTTCTGCTCGACGTCAAAGCTGCTGTGCGTCTTCCTCACCGTGGCGATCGGTCTCGGCTGCTCGGCCTTTGCGCTGTCGTCGTACGGCTCTGGCGGCGTCTCCGAGCTCCTCGAGTCGGTGTCCGTGCCCGACGCGGAAGCCTTCGCGCCCGTCCCCGACGGCGGCTCTATCGAGGCACTCGGGGTGCTCGAGGAATTGTCATCCATCACGCGTAATGCCTGCCCAGAGCCACCCTACACCGCCACCAACCCGTACCAGGAGGGCCCGCCCAGGAAGGCCTACGAGAACTTCCCGACCACGGGGGATGTGGGCTTCGATGTCATCGCCGAGGCGTGGCTGGCAGGCGGCGGTAGGCCGGAGCAGTGCGAGAGCGCCATCATCATCGCTTCGGGCGAGTGCGCACCGTCGCAGAGCGAGCCGACAGTCATGGGGTGCAATATCGACCTGTCGGGGCAGACCTCCGGCATCTGGCAGGTGGACAGTGCGAAAACCGCGATCCCTCCAGGCTCCCCCATGCTGGACCTCTACAAGACGAACCCGGCCGTGAACGCTTGGGTGGTGACGCCGCTCCTCAACAAGACCTTCGCCGGGGCGATCTCGTCAATTTAGTCAACTCGTGGCGCAATTATGCCCCAGAGCAATTCCACAAATTTCGTCATTTTCGTCAATTATGTTAATTGACGAAACCTCGGCTCAATCTCGGCCAATCTCGGCTAATCTCCTGCTCTAATTGCTGCACATCGTGTTCCGTTCTCTCTGCTTTGAGAGCGTCTTTGAGGGGGGGAATCGAGAGGAAGGGGGGCTCAAGAGGGCCGCACCTACTCGCAGCGTACACAACTTGAGGCCCAGCGCCAAGGAACTCCGCGGCACACCCGCCTCGCTCACGTTGTTTTGTGGATCTGCGAGGCGCGCAGGCGGCGGCGGGGGAGCGTCAGCAGCGTAAAATGGGATGAGCATGGCGCGGGTTTGCTTCGGGCGTCGCGGGAGCGCAGGAGGCATGGAGGCGATTCGCGGCTGCGCGCTGGGTGGTCGCGCTGCCCGCAATCCGGCTGCGCCAGATTCGCGGCGCTCGATCCTCGGAACGAGCCGCTCGCGCGGCGGTCGCAGCACGGCGGGCAGCCCGGCACGAGCGCGCTGCAGCGCTTGGGAGATTGGGCGAAGCGGCCGGGCACGCTCTCGCAAATGGCAACACGCGCCGCATCGCGCGGGGCGAGGGGAGGAGGCGAGGAGGGCAGGGGCATTCCTGAGTGCGAGGGGGTTCGCTGATTGCAGCTCTCACCGACGGAGCCTCTCAAAGTGATTTGGGCTTGATCAAAAAGAGCGCCTTCGGCACTACTCTCTCGAGGTCTCGTGCCACAGGGGCGGGGGGACAGCCTCCCTCGGGCGCTCGTGCGAGCGACCAGCCGATGCCGGGGCTTGTTTCTTCTATCTCGCGCGCCGCCGGTTGGATGGAACCACCTGCTCTACCAAATTTGTTGGCCTGTATACTGTTCCGGCAAACAAAAAGGAAAACAGAGGGGCCCCAGCACTTTGCGTTTCCGGAAATTTCCAGGGGAAACAGAGGGTGTTTCTGTTTGGTGCTCCATTCTATGGGTGGACGCAGGACGGGCGATGACGGTCACACAGGAGCGACACACAGAACCACAAAAACAAGACACTAGCCGGGGCAGTCGGAGAAGTGGCAACTCCGTGCACTGACGGTCGGCCGCCAGAAAACACGCCTCCGTGGCTCGGGTTACACCAATCCTCGCTACCCAACGCGGCCAAAGGATATCCACCTCGAGAACCTCGAGAGAGACGGTGTGTATCGACACTCAGCCAAGCCCCCCGGCTGCCACACATCCTGCTGAGCGAACTTCCCCAGTCACCCGCGGCCGGACTCCATCCGGCACGCGTCGCTGGGCGCTCAGAGCCGCGTCCCCTGCGCGCCACCCCGACGCCCAAGGCGCCCGAGGAAGTGGCAGTGTGGGTGGCGGAAACGGTGGCGGCGAGAGAGGGTCTGTGGGCTTTCTGCTCGGGTTCACCGGCCCGGTCTCACGCCATGCAGCCCCGCTACTCCCGCGACATCTTACCCCTTCCCGCGATGCGCGAACGAAACACTTGCGACTCTTAGGCCGCGACAGAAAGAACGCTCCTGATGCAGCTTGATGCAGGCCTCAACTCTGAGCCCTGGTGTCGAGGTGTCGAGGCCCGGTGTCGAGGGTGTCGAGCTGCTGTCGAGGGATAGAGGTGTCGAGGCCTGTCGAGGCCTGTCGAGGCCTGTCGAGGCCTGTCGAGGCTGGGACCAAGCTTGTCCGTGTCGAGGGGTGTCGAGGGGTGTCGAGGGTGTCGAGGGTGTCGAGGGTGTCGAGGGTGTCGAGCAGGTGTCGAGTGTTGTCAAGGGGTTTTGCGTCTAAGGTGTCGAGGTGTCCAAGGTGGCAGGATGCAGTTGCAGCCCATCAACAAAACTTGGGCAGCAGTTGCAAAGCTGTTTCATCCCTTAGTTGCAGCCTCAGTTGCACCCTGTTGATGTAGCACAACCTGAGCACAACCAGTATACTCTCTGTGGACATTTGAGGACATCAAGTGCCGGGAGTCATTGCCACTGTGCACAAAGGTGCTGTGCAGGCGCAGCACCGCAGCAGCGTCGCCGCTGCAGCAGCGTCGCCCCTGCAGCGTCACCGGCGCACAAAGCGCAACTGACCACAGCGCTCATGGCACAAGGCTGGTGCCATGAGTCAGTGGACATTGCCACTGCACAAGGTGCTGTCCAGCAGCTAAGGGCTGCCAGTACCCCATCGCAGCAGCGTCGCCGCCGCTGCAGCGTCGCCGTTGCAGCCGAGCGTCGCCAGTGCACAAAGCGCAATGGACCACAGGTCTGCACTCATGGCACAAGCTCACTGGTGTGAGGATTCATTGCCACTGTACAAGGTGCTGTGCAGCACCTGAGGGCTACCTGAGTACTGCCATCGTGCCATGTTTGCTGCATCAACAGGGGTGCAACTGAGCTGCAACTTGAGCTAGAACTTGAGAGGCTGCAACTCAGGGATGAAAGTACTGCCAGCCAAGTTTGATTGCTGCTGCAACCCTGATTTCTAACTCTGACTCCAATGGGTCTACATCTCTGCTGTGTTAGGATCATCAGAGGTGTCGAGCGGTGTCGAGCGGTGTCGAGCGGTGTCGAGCGGTGTCGAGCGGTGTCGAGGGGTGTCGAGGGGTGTCGAGGTGTCGAGTTTGGCACCTTGACACGGACGAGCTTGGTCCCAGCCTAGATGGTGTCGAGGGGTGTCGAGGGGTGTCGAGTTGGTCGAGTTGGCATGGGGTGTCGAGGTGTCGAGTCAGTGTCGAGGTTTGGTGTCGAGGTGTCGAGGCCAGGGCTCAGCCTCAACTAAGATGCCGACCAGCTTGGTTGTGGCGGCCGAAGAGCGCGGTGCTGGCCGCCGCCTCTCGACGGGGTCAGTGTGGCGCGTTCGAAATGCAGCCGCGCCGCCTCACCCGCGGCGCCTCTCGGCCGGTGACCGACGCCGGCCCAGATGCCCACACAGCCCGGGGAACGGGCCGCGCCGATTGCGGCGCCCCTTCCTGCAAAGCTGGAGCACTGAGCGCGAGCGCGCATAGGCCCTCGCGGAGGGGCCCTTTTCCCCGAACCTGCGCCCGGCCGCCTGCGGGCGGCCTTCTCTCGAGGCCTCGAGATACACAAAGCGGCCAACTGGCTACGTACGGTTGTCAGCTAGCACGCGTCCCCTATGCGAGTATGGCTCCTGCCAGTGCACCAGACTTACAGATGTGTTTGATTGATTGATGGGAAGGCGAAACACAGTCCGACCAACGACTGGGACACCAACGCGGTAGATGTGTTCGAGCGGGTTCGTGCCAAAATTGGAGAAAAGGTAATCGCCGGTTGGCGGCGCGAACGGCGCCCAGGACCGGGAACCTTCCCGAGGCGGAAGGGAAGTGGTCTCGAAGCGGCCTCTTCCGGCTCGCTTGGCAGCCTTCCCAACGAGGCCATGGAAGCAGCTCTCGCCGGCGACGAGGCGGCGCTGCTGGCGTGGCTTGACAGCGGCGCGGCCTCGTCGGCCAGAGCTTCGACGGCGACAGCATCGCCGTGGATGGCAAGAAGGACCACTATCGCGAGTTGTGGTGGCGGCAGACGTCCTACAAAACCAAGGAGATTGTCACCGAGGCGCAGGCCGAGGGCGCCATCGAGGGCCACGGCGACGAGTACAAGGTGGCCGACTTTTTCGGCACCAAGTTCAAGTACTCCCGCTTCGACGCGCTCGAGGCGGCGCCGCGGGACGTCTCGGCGCTCTCGGGCGCCAAGCGCACCGTCCGGGCGAATGCGTGGAAGACGAGCAAGGCGGGCACCTCCGGCGACGACGCTGCGCATGCGGCTGAGGCGGCGGCTTGAGTGCGACCTTCAGATCGTACACATCCCGTGTCCGTGAAGGCGAAGCGAGCCCCGCGGCCGCGGCCCCCGCGCACCGGAATAAAAAAAGGAAAGGTCGGTGTGTGCCGCTGCCGGCTCCCACAGTGGTCAGTGCAGACCACAGTGCCCGCATTTATCTTTCCAACACGCTTAAACATGTATCTTATTCCAACACCGCGGTCGCTCAGCTCTCAAATCTCAAAAACGTCAAAGACGCCCCACTGTGTCGTAACTTCACTCTGTCCACTTGACGCCCGGTATCTTGACGCTTCGAGCCCCGTACCGGAATAAAGAAAAAGAAAGGTCGGTGTGTGCCGCTCGCTGCCGGCTCCCACAGTGGCCAGTGCAGACCACAGTACGCTCATTTATCAACACGCTTAGCTCAAAGACGCCACAAGTAACATCAGTCTGTCCACTTGACGCCTGGTATCTTGACGCCCGACGGGAAGAAGCGCGTCTTCATCGCGAACTCCTTGTCGTCGTGCGTGCGCGCAAAGTCGGCGATGATGTCGGCGACGAGGCTCGCGTTCTTGCTCAGCGCGAACGCCCCCGCCGCCATCTCGCGCCGCGTCTCGGCGCGGAGCGCGTCGAGGTCGAGCTCCTCGTCGTCGCCCGCCATCTGCACGCACGAGTCGACCGGCGCCCGCCAGCCGCCACCCGTCCCGTCGCCGCCGCTGCCACCGCCACCGCCACCACCGCCGCCGCCGCTGCCGCCCCCGCTTCTGCCGCCGCTGCTGCTGCTGCCGGTGCGGTTGTCGAGGCGCGCGCGCAGCGCCCACATGGTCGTCTCAAAGGCATCGTACGGGCGCGCCGCGTGCAGCGTCGCATCGGCGTTGACGCGCTGCTCGTAGAGCCCCGGCGCGAGCCAGAGCATCCGCGGCCAGACGCAGCCGAGGCCGCGCCGCAGCCGCGCAACGTGGCGCGCCGGGATCTTGGCGAGCAGCTGCGGCAGGATCGGGATGTCGTCGAAGCGGAGGCGGACCGAGAAGCGCCGCCACGGCAGAATGCTTTCGAATGCCATGTCGACGTCGTCCTATGGGAAGGCGAAACACAGTCCGACCAACAACTGCGACACCAACGCGTTAAGGGTGGACGCTAGACGGGAGATGACGGTCACACAGGAGCGACACACAGAGCCACAAGACAAGACACTCAGCCAACGTGGCTGCCACACACCCTCTTTCGGACCCTACCTACCCCCCTCACCTGGATGACGACGGGGACGCAGCCGACGAGCACGCACTCGTATCTAGAGTTAATTAAGAGTTAATTAAGAGCTACTTAAGAGCTAATTAAGAGCACGCACTCGTATCTAGAGAAGGGGGGGAGGCGGTGGAGAAGGAGGTGGTGGGGTGGGAGGCCGTGGCGTGTGTGTGTGTGTGTGTGTGTGTGTGTGTGTGTGTGTGTGGGTGGGGGGGTGGGGTGGGGGGGCAGAGAGGGGGGCGGCGGCAGAAGGGGCGGCGAGGGAGAGGACTGGGGAAGCGGCGGCGGGGGGGAGGAGTACTGGCGCGACGAGAAGCCGTATCCCGCCGGCGCGAGGCAGAACTTGGACGTGGCGTAGTTGGCGACGTGCTGCTCGAGCGGCAACTTTTCGTAGACGCCGTTGTCAAAGGTCATGAGGAGGACGCGCGGGTTGGCGCGGTGCGCGCGGTACGCCGCCTGCCTCACGCCGAGCTAATTAACTCTTAATTAACTCTTAATTAACTCTTAATTCGCTCTTAATTAACTCTTAATTAGCTCTTAATTCGCTCTACGCCGCCTGCCGCACGCCGAGCGAGTAGTGGCGACCCCGAGATTGCCCGAGATTACCCGAGATTGCCCGAGATTACCGCCTGCCGCACGCCGAGAGAGTAGTGGCGCCCCCAGTTGAGGTTCATCTTCCCCGAGAAGAAGAGCTCGCGCTTGAACGCCGCCTCGTCGAGCGGCGCGCCGAGCTGCTCGCGCGAGATCGACGGCCTCGCGCAGGCGACCTGTGAACAGAGAGGTGTGAAGAGGCGCGGCGTCGGCCGTCGCCGACCTCTCTAGATTAGCTTCGGAGACGCTGGCGTGGCTGCGCCACGCTCTCGATCCTCATCGCACATTGCCCTAGCGCTTGGCGTGACGGGCTAGTGCGCCGAACAGGTGCCAGAGGCGACCCGTGAACAGAGAGGTCGCAGCGCGCCGTCGGCTTGCCGTCCCTGCCCATGCAGCCGCCGTGCTCCGAGTTGAGCGTCGCCGGGAGCCAGCGGTTCATCCGCGCCTGCTCGCCGTGGAAGGGCGGCACGCAGAAGTCCTTGCCGGCGACGTGGTCGCCCTGCCCGTCGCTGTCGACCTTGACCGACGCCGGCGCGCCCCAGTGGTGCAGCATGATGAGGGGCCGGCTCTCGGGCACCTGCTGCCGCACGAACCGGTTGCCCTGGTCCTGGGTCATCACGATTATGTGGTCGGCGCCGCCGCTCCGCGCAAAGTACGGCCACGTCCTCTTGACGTACGCGATCGCGTCGCGCAGCGGCTTGTGCGCCGGCTGCGTGAAGTGCTTGAAGTAGTAGCGGTGCGAGTAGTAGCCTGTTCACAGCTGGAGGTGTGAAGGGACGCTGTTCACAAGTGCTTGAAGTGGTAGCGGTGCGAGTGGTAGCCTGTTCACAGCTGGAGGTGTGAAGAGACGCTGTTCACAAGTGCTTGAAGTAGTAGCGGTGCGAGTGGTAGCCGAGCGAGAGGTGCAGCGGGATGAAGAAGTAGTCGGCCTTACCTGAAGGAAGTAGGGTGTAGGGGGCAGGATGAAGGAGGTAGGGAATGGGATGTAGGGAATGGGATGCAGGGTATAGGGTGAAGGATGTATGGCGTAGTGATGCAGTGATGTATAAGTGGTAGCATGCAGCTTGCAGCTTGTAGGCTATAGTCTGAAGAAGTAGTCGGCCGCGCCCGGGTCGAGCGTGCGGTGCGCCTGAGATCAAATCGAAAGTTGCCGAGGCTCTGGGCATTGACGAGGAGAAGAAGGAGCCCTCGTCCAAAGCAATGGGACGCGTGCAGAAGCTCTCGGAAGAAGCAGCTCTTGCGTACGTCAAGGCACGAGAGCACCTCGAGTTCGTGAACATCTACACATCGAAGCCGAGCGCAGCAGCTGCTGGTGCAGCATCACGTCGACGCCGTACCAGTGGTCGCGGCTCCAGTCGCCCTTGCGGTACGCCGCCAGCCACGACGTGAAGCGCGGCGGCATGTCGTACACGTAGATAAGCGGCCGCACGCCGCCGTCCGCCGTCGCCGCAGCGCCGCGCGCGCCGCCGCCGCTGCCGCCGCCGCTGCCGCCGCTGCTGCCGCTGCCCGGTCCAAGGGAGCAGTCGATGCCCCAGCTGCCCGGCTCGCAGCGACAGAAGTTGTGCTCGCACGCGCCGCGGCCGCTGCACTCGTTGAAGCACTTGTGCAGCCCGGGCGACTTGTCCATCCTGCCGCAGGCGTGGCTGCGATGTGGGAGGTTGTGGAGAGCTCGCCGGCTCCGGCGGCGCTGATTGAGATCGGGCCCGACTGCTAGTAGATGCGGATACTCATCGCCTCAGTGTGTGGGCGCCGCCGCACCTCACGCTGCACGTCGGCCCCGTGAAGCCCGGAAAGCAGCGGCACTTGGGCGTGCGCTGGTTGGCGCACTCCTCGAGGTTGTACCGGCGGTCGGACGGCACGCAGTCCGACGCCTTCGGGTAGAACTGGTACGGCAGCTGGACCGAGAGGATGCCGCGGCCGGAGCAGTGGCCGTCGGCGAGGCTCGCCGCCGCGTCGGCGCGCGTCCGCTGCAGCCACGTCTCGTTGGCGATGATCGGCGACCACGGGATGGCCGCCTTGGTGCGCCGCTCGGCCGCCGCCATGCTCTCGCCAGGCGCGGGCGCCACGACGCACTCCTGCCGCGCGTCGAGCGCCAGCTCGTGGCACTGCATCACGCAGTCGCACGTCGCCGGGAAGGCGGGTTGTGAGTGGATGCCGCACGCCGCCACCGTCGGCTTGAGGCCGTACTGGTCGACGCAGGCGGGGAAGAGCGGCTCGGCGCAGCCGGCGCCCTTGGCAAACGGCGGGCAGTCGCACCGACCGAGGTCGGCGTTGCACGTGCCGCGACCGCAGCCTCCCACACACGCGTGGCCACCCGCGCCGTCGAGCGGGTACGTGGCTGGTGCAGGGTCGGCCGGAGCTGGAACTGCGTGTCGTGTATGCACGGCCGCAGCGGCGAGCCGCGTGCGCGCGATCGACAGCGTTCCGTTCAGCGAGCCCAGTCGCGTCGCAAGATCGCGCTCCCGCGCCCGGAGAGCGGCCACCCGACTCAGCGGCTCGCTTCCAGCGGGCGTGGGAGCGGCAGCTGGCCCCTCGTCGTAGGATATCATTGTCGGAAAGTTTCGTAGTGTCGGAATTACCACTAGGGCGAGCAGCACGAGGCCCAGCGGCACAAGCCGGCTGAAGGGCGCCATACTCAGGTCGCAGTACGAGTAGCTCGCTGCTCGCGCGGGGCCGCGCGTCGGAGCAACAATTCTTTTTTTTTGCGAGCGCCTTCGTTGTTAATAGTACAAACCCAATGGTCCTCTGCGAGCGGTCCTTCGTTGCAGTCGCACACACGCACACGCCACGCCGCACCGCGCGCCCGCCCACCGCCCCGCCCAGGCGGGAAAGAGATGAGGAGATGGGACAGCAAAGGAGGAAGCACAAGCACGTATGGGAGGGTTCAGTAATGCGCCACGCTGCCCGGCGTCTCTCACTTTCCGGGACAGCCCCGCCCTTGTGAGGCAGGAAAGTGACGGCTACCCCGTACGCCCTGCGGCCTGCTACCCCGACGCCGACCGCCCATTCCCCCCTCCTCGTTCACTAGGGGGTTGTATCAGAGGGGGGGGGTCTGAGGCAAGGGGGCCCAGATCTGCTCGTCTCAGAGGGTACCCTCTGTGCCAAGAGAGGCCATCCACGAGCGGCTCAGAGGGTGCCTGGGCCGACCCTCTGAAGGCCTGTGCCGCCAAGCCAGCCTCTCTCGGCGCAGCCTCTGAGGCTACGGGGACCCTCTGAGACGCCAAGGCAAGCCCCGCGAGGCCGCTCCTCAGAGGGAGTTTTCAGCGGTATTTCAAGTCTGTCGTGATCCCCCACCAAGCAGAGAGAACCCCCCCCAGCCAAGCAGAGAGAACCCCCCCCCCAGCAGGCCCAGCTTCCATTGGTTTCGGATACCTCAAGTTCGAGTTCACTAGGACGCCGCGGCGCCTCATGGCCAAGCTGGAGCAGGGGACGGATGTGGAGATCACTACCTCCTCCTCGGGCGGCCGCTCCAAGCACATCCTCACTCAAGTTGACGGGTCGGCGGCGCCGCTGCGCGCTGGCCGCGCGAAGCTGTCGCGCAGGGGTCGGCGCGGGCGCTGTGGGCGAGCCTGCAGCAGCAGAAGCGTAGAGTAGCGCCTTAGTCATGCTCGCTGCTTCCGCCCCCTCCCCGCCCTCCCTGGTCAGCGCCGTTCGTGGAGGGCTAGGCGCTCCGGCCTCCGCCCGGGGCTCTCGCGACTCGCTTCTGTCTGCCGAGAGGGGGCTACCCTCTGAGGTCAACGCCCTCTGTGCCGCGCCAAGACAGACCCTCGGCCGGGGACCCTCTGAGGCCAAAATCAGCCAAGAGAGGCCACAGAGGCGGCACAGAGTCAGAGTCAAACCCTCTGTGCCGCCAAGGCAGGGGTCCGACCCGTCCTCAGAGGGGGGTCTGAGGCCTCAGAGAGTGTATAACCCCCTAGTCCTCGTTCCCGCCTCGGATTCTCCGGACCCCGACAAGCCGCCCGACGTTGTCTGCCCCGCACGCCCCCGCCCCTTCTGCCCCTCGCTCACACCCCGGCCCGACACGCACATACAAGACAAACCCGGCGTCCTGCTCTCAAAAGAAAAAGAAAAAGCACAGCTTCGGCGATGGCGGCCCTGTCGGTTCTTGAATCCTTTATTAGTGTAGGTAGGTAGGTAGAAAGGTGAAGAACAGCCAGGCTCGGACTGGACACCAACGCGGTATGGGTGGACGCTGGACAGATGATGACGACACGCACGAGCGACACACAGACACAAACAAGCTCACAAGACACACAGCCAGCGGGCTGCCACACACCCTGAGTCGGCTTACACATAACTCAAGGCCATATCCTCCCTGTCGCCCCCCCCAGCACTCCACGGTGCCAAGAGTACAAACAAGGGCACAACTACACAACAGACGACAGGAAGTGACATTAGTGCCAGTGCGCGCCAGTCACGATTCGTTGAATTCTTTTCCTAACCGGGAACAACCCAGGCGGGTGCTGGCCTTATGAAGTCGCTCACCGACGGAGTTCAACGTTCATGTGCGACGCGTTGGGCACGGCTGAGCTGCTGCAAGGACGACAAGACCCGCCGCTATTGCGAGGCCTTTGCGGCCGTCATGCCATGGTGGGCTCTGCTCGGGATGCTTCTCGTCGTGACCGCCTTTGCCATGCTCGGCAGGGGTGTGCTTGGGTAGTCTGACTCCCACAAACACACGCCTGAGGACTTACACGTGGTGCCATCCGCGAACGGCGCTCCGTGCCAAAGTATCAACCGCGCTAGTTGAAGTTGACCCGGGCCACTCGATGGCAGGAATCACCGACCTGGATGGGATCATGAAGGCGCTGATCACGGATGGGCTGCTGAAGAAGATAGTCTATGCCTTCATCTCGCTCGTCCTGGCCCTCGACATCCTCCTCTTCGAGCGGATCATCCGATTCAAATGGCGCGCAATCGCCACCCATCCCCGCCTCTGCCACCCAACCAACCCGTCTCACAGACCGCGCTGCCGGCGCAACAATGCCGCGTCCTCATCACAGCTATCCAAGCTCGCCTCACCTCGCCACACTTTTCGCCGCGATTGATTTTCGCGCAGGGCCATGCACTTTGCGCTGCCGCGAGGCTCCTGCGGCGTCGGCTGCGGCTCGGTGCGGCCGTGCTATGGAAAGCACGCGCGCCGCGGCTGCTACTGCTACGAGGTGACCCTCGCAACAATCTCGTGGACGCTCGGGATCCTGTCGATCCTCTCGGCGATGCTGACCGCGCTAGTGATGGCTGTGATCCTCATCTACGCTGCAGGCCCTCGCGCCAAGATACGTCCCCACACCGACGCGCAGCTCACACGGCGTGGAGAGGCCGGGTTCCCGCGACGGCCGTGTGGCTCACCTCTCCCTGGTCTCAACTCACCCGCTCTGCCTCCCTGACAGCGTGCAACGCCGACCTCAGCGTTGAGGATCTCGCCGAGATCAACAAGCAGATTAACGACGCTATTGACGGCAGCACCCGTCCTCTTGCGTCCATTCACGGCGACTGGAGCGAGCCGCCTGCCCTTCACGATGCGGTGCCGTGCGAGCAGGGCTCCCCGCATTCCTCAAGGAGTATGACTTGACCGAATTGTGCGACGGGACCTGCAAACGATGGCGGACAGGGCGCAGGAACGCCGTTCCCTCACGGGACGTCACTTGAGCAGGTACGATGCGATCTGCAGCGACGACAGCCCGAGCCTAAAGTCCATCGCCATCGGTTCCGCGCTGATGGTCTCGATAGCTCCTCGCGCCGTCGAGGCGTGGCACGGCTGCGACCAGAGGCGTTGTGGGCCGATCGCCTTGTAGGTCGGCGGCTCCTCGCTCAAGCTCGTCGGGCATGACGTCGTTCGCGCCTGCTTCCTCGCCTCTTGGGCCGAGCACGACAAGGTGAGAGTAGGCGGATAGAATAGACGCCTCCGCGCGCTAAGTGTGAGGCAATTCGCGTGGGCACAAGGCGATGCGGCTGGCCGACGCGGCGGATGGCGAGAGCGACGAAGACTGAGGTTCCCGCTCGCACCCCGCTATTAACGCCACCTCTAATCTGCTCTCGGAGAGGGGCGGGCTACGGCTCTAGGGGGCCGAGTTGTGTAACTTGTAATAATAAAAAAGACTTTCCGGGGGGGGGTGCGGGTGGCGGCGGGGCAGACTCAACGGTCATCGACTGGTCGAGGTTGGAGAGGGGAAGGGGGGATGGGCGGTCGGCGAGGTTGTCGTAGATTTCAGGGCGCATGGGGGCATGTTGTGCGAGTATATGGGACAAAAGCGTCGAAAATGTCCCAAAAAGCGTGTCTGGAGTTTGTTGCAGCTCCGCAGCCTGCGCGCGCTGCCGGGACGCACCGCTTGCTGGATCTGTGCACTCCCTGGGACCCAGGGAGTGCACAGATCCAACAGGAGTGAGTAGACTCGACGCCGTACTCGAGATGGAGCTGCAGAAAGTACGCCGCCGAACGTGCCACCGACGGCGTCCTGGCGGAGGTGGTGGAGTTTGAGAACTGAGGCTGCGGAGGTGACGCCTGAGGTACCGGCCCGTGCACAGCGACTCAGCCGGCGACCGCCACGGGCTCAGACGAGACTTGTCGACTCGTTCCGGCTCAGCTTCACCGTGGTCATCGGGCGTCTGTCGACGTCAGGACCACCCATACAGCTCGCGGGTTTGAGGTCGCAAGAGCCAAGATGGTGGCGTTTGGACATCCCAACCATCACACAAGACAGCCTGTAGGTGATGGCGGGACGGCGCAGTGTTTGTGGCACTCAGCAGTAGGCACCCGCGGCACGGCCCCGCTGTCGGCTCTCACGGGCTGCGGAACCGGCCCCAGAGGGAGCCGGTCCGGGCGAGTGTGGCAGCTCCTGCGCTAGTATGGGCACCCTCTATCATAGCACTACTGATCCTGGTCATTAGAGCTGCCAGGGATAGCGTCAGGAGCCGGTAGGAGTCAAAACCTCTCATATTTGAGACATCGTGTCCCATATACTCGCGCACAACACGAGCCTGGGGTCAGTCGTTCACCTTCTCACGCGCCACAGCCCATGAACCGCCCACAAACTCTTCGGCGTTCGATCGCCCCGGCGCGTCACGGCACATTACGCTCTCTACATGGCGCCCTCGTGGCTCTCTCTCTCTCTCTTCCTCTCTCTCTCTCTTTCTCTCGACCACAAACGTCCGCACGCCTGGGTCCGGACTCACTGTACGCTCGCGTCCGCAAACCGTGCACAGCTCGGCGCAAGCCGGAGTTGAGAGCGAGGGGCTGTGCCACACCCCCTCACTCTGCCGGCACAACCCAGGAGTACGGCACCTGCGGGTCGCCGCGGCACGCGACGGCCGCCGCGGCGAGCAGCGCGGCGCAGAGGACGGCGGCATCCTCGCACCGGCACCACACCGACCCGCCTCCGCCCCGCTTCGCCGTGCCGCCCGCGGCGACGGAAGGGTGGCCGGCAGGGAGGGGCGCCTCCATCGCGTTCCTCGCCGTGAACCCGAACGGGCACTCGCCTATGAGTCGATCACTCGCCTCTCCATTTCCTCTTCATGCACAAAGCGACGCACCGGACGCGCACTCACCCGGCGTCGCGCCGCTCGTTGTGGCGGCGGCGGCGGAGGCGGGGGCGGCGGCGGCGGCAGTCGCCACTTCGGGCGCGGCAGCGGAGGGGGAGGGCGCGGGCGCGGCGAGCCCGCAGACCGCGTCGAGGTGGCGGAAGATGCGCGCGTTGAAGGAGAAGGCGGCGTTGGCCTGGGTTTGATGAGTGATGGGGTCGCTGATGAGGTGGCGGGGGGCGCGCGCGCTGGCGGAGGAGGGCGGCGTCTGCCTGCTTTATTCATTATGGGTTGACGAAGGGGGACGCGCGCGGCGCCGGTGGCCGGGGGGGGGGGGGGGGGCAAAACCGCCCCCTCTAGTCTGGGGCGTGTATTTGGGAGGATGGGCTGCAGGGCTGGCCGAGGCTCCTTGGCGGCGAGGGAGGACGCCAGATCTCCCCCACATCTCGGGTCCGCTGACGGAGGACGTGGCGGAGGCGGGCGGTGTCTGTCTCTGCGACGAGCGCCTCCGCATCGAGAGGTGTTACAGCTCGCATCCGAACCCCGGCCCGCCCGCACACTGGATTCGGTAGTCTTGAGGTGTGGGACTAGGACGGCTCGCCTCGGCGACGAGCGCCTCCGCATAGACGGCCGCGCTCGATGTCATCAGCTCGTAGAGTGCGCGGCGGTAGACCTTAAGGCAAGGTACGGTCAGGTAAGCTTCTCCACACACACAAGGCGGTAGACCTCGAGGCAAGGTAAAGGTCAGGTAAGCTTCTCCACACACACGAGGTGGTGGGGCAAGGGCCAGGCTAGTCCCTCGCGTCTCCACGTTTGGACGACAGGAGCCCGACGGCATTCATAGTGCAAAAGGCCCAGGGCGCGTGGGTGAGCGGTCTGTGTGTGTGTGTGTGTGTGTGTGTGTGTGTGTGTGTGTGTGTGTGTGTGTGTGTGTGTGTGTGTGTGTGTGTGTGTGTGTGTGTGTGTGTGTGTGTGTGTGTGTGTGTGTGTGTGTGTGTGTGTGTGTGTGTGTGTGTGTGGGCCTTCTTGAAGGCGGAGGGCGAGGCGATCGCGTCGAAGCGGTAAAAGTGCATCGCCGCGTCGGCGCCGTAGTGCCGCCGCAACGCCTTGGCGATGATCTGGCCCCCCGACAGGTCGCCTGAAAAGAAAAACGCGCGCGGCGGCGGACGCTCGAAACACCGGCGCAGGGAGGCGGGGAGGGAGGCGGCGGGGAGGGAAGCGGCAACGGGGGTTGGCGGCGATGGAGGCGGCGAAAGTGGTGGTGGCGAGGGCGGCGGCGAACGACGGGGCGGCGAGGGAAGGGCTCGCCCAAGTAGCGGGTGTAGGCGTGCGCTACGAGCAAGGCCGCCTCGGACGCCTATGCGACATGTCTCGGACATGTCTCGGACGTGTCCTGGACGCGTGCCACGAGCAGGGCCGCCTCGGACGCCTATGCGACATGTCTCGGACATGTCTCGGACGTGTCCTGGATGCGTGAGCAGGGCCGCCTCGGACGCCTCTGTCGACGCGCCGAGCTCGGTGATGCGCGCGACGTACTCGGCGCACGGCGGGCTGGGAGGGCCGAGCGTCTCGCGCCAGCCGCCGCCCGCGTGCGCCTCGAGGTCAAGCGCGAGCGCCTGTTCACAGCTGGAGGTGTGAATAGACGCCGTTCACACCTTCCTCTTCACACTCACCCTGCCTCTTCACAGAGGGCGGGCGCGCGCGCCTCGCGCCGGCCAAGCTGCGAGGGGAAGTGGATGGCACGGACCGCCTCGCAGCGATCCGCGGCGGCGTCCAGCGCCGCCTCGAGGGCGACGTAGACGTGGTGCAGGTCGCGCAGCAGCAGCGCGTACTGCTGCCGCGACACCTTTCCGCGCAGCAACGAGCGGACGTACTGCACGTTTTCGGCGTCCTTGTGCGCGTCCGCCGTGCCGCTCTTCAGGCGCGCCGAGAGGGAGTGGGAGGAGAGGACGCGGGGGAGGCCGCGCGGCGGCGGACTGCCCCCCTCCACCTCCGCCCTCGCCGCCGCGGAGCTCCGCTCGTCCTTGAGCGCCGGCGCCGAGAGCAGGTTGGCCAGCGTCTCAATCACCGCCGAGAGGCCGGCGTCGTCCGCGTCGGAGGTGCTGCCCTCGGACGAGGCGCGCGAGACGCGGGCGCGCCCGGCAGCCACCGCGGCCGTCAGCGCCTCGTTCGCGCGCGTGCCAGGAAAGATGTGCGACACGGGCATCGAGAGCAGCTTCTTCTTGACGTCCGACGAGCGGAGGTCGGCGAGAGGCGTGCCCGCGAGGGCCGGGCAGGCGGAGAGGAGCTCGCGCTCGTCCGCCGGTCTGGTGGAAACGGCCGCCATCCACTGAGAGGTGTGTCACCACCTTGTCACCCTATGAAAGAATTTTAGCGATATGCGGCACAAGGAGGTCCTCCTGGACCTTGTCGAGTTGCTGCTTGGCAAGCTGGGGCGCGGCGCGGTGGAGCACGAGTTTTACTGCGAGCACAGCACTACGAGGACGGACTTGTACATTTACCAGGGCGTGATTGGGGACCTGCCCTGCATCGGCGACACCAAGATCTTCGCCGGTGTGCCGTCGGACCCCTCGGGGGTGGGGCGCATGGGGGCGTTTGTCGCTTGCGGCAACACGCTGCCACGCGCCCGCGAGACGGTTCTGGGCGTGGAGGGCGGGGACAGGGGCGGGAGGGTGGGGATGTGGGACCCGCGGACGGGGACCGGGACGGTCGAGGCTGTCAAGGGCCAGTACACCGACGCAGAGGGGAAGTGCCGCGTGGAGGCGCTGCTCTTCGAGGAGTTCGGCGCAATGAGCGCGGGGGTGGAGGAGCTGCTGATGCGGGTGGCTAAGGTGGCGGGCCGGAAGCTCACGTGGTGGCAGTACGACCAGACGTCGTGGTCGGCGCGCGAATGGATGCCGTTTGCGCTGCAGCGACTGTCGGTGCAGCTCTGGACGGCGCTCGCGGACGAGGCACAGCGCGCCATTGGTGCGGCGTCGCGCGACCGCGAGGGACCGCGGGGGAATGCTAGTGGGATGGGGGGCTCTAAGGGGAAGGGAGCGGGGGGCGCCCAGTAGGGCGCCGGCGCCCCAGCGTAGAGGGCCGTGTGTAGCCCTCTTTTTGGTACAGCGAGAAGCGGCGAGAGACTGCGAAAAGAGATACGAAGAGGCAGACTCCCCAGGGTGGGCGACGGCTAGCGCACCACACTCCTCTCCTTAAAATCCCTGTGTGGTGGCGGCGTGCCGTTCTCCCATCCCTCCCTTGGGTTGTGTGTTTTCTTTCTTTTAGCACACAGGCTCGACACAGGTGCGAACTGGCGCGTGCTAGTACTATCACCGGCACACGAAAGAATTTAAACAATAGAACTCTCTCTCACCTATGAAAGAATCTTAGAAGAAAACTCCCTATGAAAGAATTTAAAGGTCTGACGCCGCGCGAGCGACGCTCCGAGATCGCCCGAGATAGCGCGGCGCGGCGGTGGGTGAGGTGGGGCGGGGTGGAGAGGCGTGGCGTGGAGCTCCGAGATCGCCCGAGATCGCGCGAGATCGCCCGAGATCGCGCGGCGCGGCCCGAGGCGAGGTGGATGGGTTGGGAGCGAGGGGGCGGCGGAAGTGATCAGTGCGGTAGATCGGTCAGTCGGGGCGCATGAGCCGGACTTGTGGGCCGGACCACCCAAGTCCTTTATCTGCGTTGTTGAGCCAGGACTCAACATACTTATCAGCCATAAAATTCTCCAGAAAAAAGAAGAATTCTTGGCCGTCTGCTGTGAAATTCTTTTGTCAGCCCTCTCTGGGTTCCAACTTTTTGCGGGTTATGGTATGGTAGGCTCACGGCCCAAAGGTTGGGGGGTATGGTCCTAGGTAGGTAGGTAGAAAGGTGAAGAACAGCCAGGCTCGGACTGGACACCAACGCGGTCTGAGGGAGGGTGTAGAGGATGTAGAGTGTAGAGCGCTGTAGAGCTGTAGAGATGTAGAGCGCTCTGGAGCGCTGTAGAGCTGTAGAGCTCTACATCCGCCGCGTGACGAGGCGCCTGCGTTGTAGAGCGATGTAGAGCGCGATTTTGTTGTAGAGTTTGTTGTAGAGGCTCTACAGCCAAACCGCCGGGAAGGCAGTGACTCAAAGAGGTCGAGCCGCGCTAATGGGGTTTTACCGAGCTTAGTGAAGCTCTGATGGACAGCCCTGACTATCCCTGACACACAGAGAGTCCCTCTGACGGCACACAACACCCTATAACTGCGTCATGACCAGCCTGCCATGTGTCGCCGGTGCCGCATTCGTCGCTGTGCTTCTTTAGCAGGCGGTGGACTGTCGGCTGCGAGGACGGTCGCATTTGCGCGAGGCGAGGCGAGCATTCAGACGCCTTATCTGCGCCATGACTCGCGCCAGCGCGTGCGGGAGCTCCTGGCTGAGCGTTGAGTCCAGGCGAGTTGCGCTGGCCACGATCGCTACGCCGAGCCGAGCTGACGCGCCGAGGCGCCGGCCAGTCGCAGCCGTGAGGCATGCCACAGCAGCAGAGGCATCTGCCACCCATTGGGCGGGCAGACAGAAGGCCAGGGCAGCACTGGCAAGTGCAACGCGCCTCATGTCGGAGAGCGACCGTGCCTCGTTCGCCGCTTATGATGTAGAGTTTGTTGTAGAGATTTCACGTTGTAGAGCGCCTCTACATCGCTCTACAACGCAGGCGCCTCGTCACGCGGCGGATGTAGAGCTCTACAGCTCTACAGCGCTCTACATCTCTACAGCTCTACAGTGCTCTACACTCTACATCCTCTACACCCTCCCTCAGAACGCGGTATGGGTGGACGCTGGACAGATGATGACGGCACGCACGAGCGACACACAGACACAAACAAGCTCACAAGACACACAGCCAGCGGGCTGCCACACACCCTGAGTCGGCTTACACATAACTCAAGGCCATATCCTCCTTGTCGCCCCCCCCAGCACTCCACGGTGCCAAGAGTACAAACAAGGGCACAACGACACAACAGACGACAGGAAGTGACATGCGAGGCTAGAGCAGGCTTGCTCTACCTCCAGCAATCTCTCCGGCCGGCGAGGCACGGACGAGACCGTGTGTGGGGTCTAGTGAGGTGTCTATGGACGCCTACGGTCCTGATATAGCTCCATACCCCGCAAAAGTCCGAACCCTGCTGCGGTGCGGCACCGCGGCGCCGGCTTCCCCAGGCCCCTCGCTCACGACATGTGCGCTACCTTAGGTGCACGACACCGGACACGCACCGGCGTAGCAGCATGGGGCGCGGGCAGAAGGGCAACCGCGGCGGGCGAGGCGGCGGGGGGCGCGACCGGCAGCAGGGGAGCGAGGACGAGGACGACCACCGGCCGATTGCAAAGCAGAACGCGAACGTCGGCATGCTCCCGCCCTCTTCGTCGGAGGACGAGTCGTCCGAGGAGGAGGTGGCACCCCACTCACTCCCCGCCGCCGCGCCGGGAGCTCGCCTATCTTCCACCGCCTCCACGCTCCGCCGCCTCTGCCGCCACCGTCGCCGCGGCGGTCGCCGCTGCCGCCACCCCGCATGCCCGCCGCCGCCGCAGGGAGGGCAGAACCCGAACGCGGGCATGATGCCTCCTTCGAGCTCGGAGGACGAGGCGGAGGAAGATACTCGCCCAAAGGCAATGGTAGTTAGAGGTGAAGACACAGCTTGACCAGCGACGGGTCACCCGGCGGTGCATCTGGGCGGATGCAAGGGAGACGGTCACACTGGAGCCACACACAGAGACCTCAAAGACCAGACACTCACGGGGTCCAGAGGAGAAATGTGCTCGCCTATCTTAGGGCAAGGCGTCGCGTACGTCCCCACATCTCCCCATATCTCCCCCATATCTCCCCCATATCTCCCCCCATATCTACCCATAATCTCCCGTGTAGGGGAAGGGCAAGGCGCTCGACTACGGCGGCAGCAAAAAGGAGGAGTCGGAGGAGTCGGATGAGGTGTCGCCCCCACACACACACGCGCACGCACGCACGCACGCACGCACGCACGCACGCACGCACGCACGCACACACGCACGGGGATATGGGAAGGTATGGGGACATACGTGGCGGGCGAGACGGGAGACATGGGGAGATATGGGGAGATGTGCGGCCGCACACCTACCGCCGCCTGGCTCTAACGCCCCCCTCCCCAACCCCCCCCCCCCTTCCCCGCCTGATTTTTCTTTTCTATCTTTGCGCAGGGGCCGGACCCCGAGACAATGCGCAAGGAGATCGCGCCTAGAAGCGGAACATCTCCCCATATCTCCCCGTATCTCCCCGTATCTCCCCATATCTCGCGCCTAGAGGCGGGACACGTACCCATCTCTTTGGACTAGCGCTCGAGAGGACGCGTCCTCGAGATACGTATCTCACTCTCCGCCGCCTTCGGCCACATCCCGCGGTGTATCCGCGCAAAAACACAGCCCCGGACCCGCATGCACAGAGAGTCGGTGTATTCACTGCACTCGTACCCCCCCCCCCCCCCTTGCACAGTGCTGCGCAGAGCTCTTCACACACCAGCACAGCCCCAACCCCGGAATCGCACGACAGCAGATCTTCCTCCGGGAGATTGCGATCTCGACCCTCCGGATCGTGTGTAAACGCCGAAGCTCAGTTTGAGTAGGAGAGGGAGCAGCTCGCGCTGGTCGAATTCGCTATGTAATTAATCAATGCCTCTTGATCTGAGTAGGAGAGGGAGCAGCTCGCGCTGGTCGAAGTCGCGATTCGTCATGCCTAATCAATGCCTCTTGATCTGAGTAGGAGATGGAGCAGCTCGCGCTGGTCAAAAAGCGGCGCGAGGAGCAGGCATGTTTTCCAGCATCCCGCCCCCAGCTCTCCCCGTAACTCCCCATATCCCCCCATATCCCCCCATATCCCCCATATCTCCCCATATCTCCCCATATCCCCCCATATCCCCCCATATCTCCCCATATCTTCATCCTCCTCCTAGGCGGCCAATCTCCCCATATCGCCCCATATCGCCCCATATCGCCCCATATCGCCCCATATCGCCCCATATCGCCCCATATCTCCCGGCTCTTCTTAGGCGGCCAAGAGGGTAGAGAAGGAGGGGTGGGACCGCTTCAAGCCCATGTCCGACTCCAACCACCCTCCAGGAACGCAGATATGGGGAGATGTGGGGAGATGTGGGGAGATATGGGGAGACATTCAGCTGCCGAGAGACAGCCGAGAGACAGCCGAGAGACAGCCGAGAGACAGCCGAGGGGCAGCCGAGGGGCAGCCGAGAGACAGCCGAGGGGCAGCCGAGGGGCAGCCGAGGGGCAGCCGAGGGGCAGCCGAGGGGCAGCCGAGGGGCAGCCGAGGGGCAGCCGAGGGGCAGCCGAGGGGCAGCCGAGGGGCAGCCGAGAGGTAGCCCTGTCTTCACGCCCTGGCCCTGGCCCTGTCCACATCGCAGGCATGCGCGAGCCGGAGGGGGGATGGGCGGCGGCCACAAGCTCTGTGTAGGCTCTATCTCGCGTGCATCCGATCGAGCGAGCGCATCGGGCTCATCGCGCTCGCCGCCACCGACGGCCACGCCACCGCTGCCCTGCCATCGCCACCACCGCCAGCGAAACTAGTGAGTAGTGTGTGTGTGTGCGTGCCCTCCCGAGCGAGGGAGAGAGCGTAAGTGTGCCCGCTTTTGGCACTGAAGAGCGACCACAAGAATTGTTAAAATATACAAGCCTCTCTCACAGCACACTGGCACGACGACAAGGGCGCGGTCCGCGGACCGCTGGCACACACACCGGCTCGAGACACCCCGAAGACGCCAACGACGGCGACGAAGATGGAGAGAGGAGCGAGGACGAAGAGATGCCCGACCGCACAACAGAGCCAGGGCCGAGCGAGCAACCACCCGAAACGGGCCATCCAAACGAAGGCAGCCAGACAGACGACGAATTCACAGTGATGGACGTAGAAGAGGAACAGCCATAGAGGACGAGGCGCCCCAGCCGCCGAGGAAGCGGGGGCGACTTGAGAACGAACGGAGTGATTCGATGAGTCAGGGAGAGGGGGCGAGCCAACAGCACACAGAGGACGGGGGGCCGATGCCGTACGGGGAGGAGCGCGCACGCACTGCAGGGGACGAAAGGCACGAAGGCGCCCCCCCACCGGGGTGGGTACGAGGAGGCGAGATGCGGGGGGCACAGCTTGGACGGCAGGCGCGCAAGAGACAGAAAGCCAGGGAACAAAGAGGAGGCAAGTAGGGGGGGTGGCTCGTAACTGAGGACAGGTTCGCCTTCAGGGACAGCCGCCTCCCTGAGTGGTGCTTGTTGTTCATAACGCTACTTACTTGTACTTGTAACCACGATCGATGCGAGGACGCAAGTCCACCAACCTCGGCCATTCCAACGGCCAGACCGCTCGCTTAAGGCTGATTGGCTAGACGAGCGGTCTACCCCCGACGGGGCGGCCTGGATCACGGGGGATGACATCCTGCCTCCCGGCACGCCGGGAGGAGGTGGGTGCTCCGCCGCCGGACCCCCCCCTCCATCACCCTCGCCCAGGGATCTACAATGCTGTCTTAAGGTCCGACCTGTGGGCTCTGCCTGCGCTCGGCACCGGGCACCGCCTCGGTATACAAAATGCGCCTGCGGGCGGACCCTTACAGATCACAGATCACACACCGGCTCGAGCACACCGGCTCACCACCGGAGGCGGAGCCGCCTAAGCGACTCCGTTAAGAACGGCAAGGCACTCCGCACCATGCACAATGCCGCTCTCCCCGCACGCTAGCTGGGCCCAGCTACTAGCTCGTTCACCGTCTTGATTGAGCTGGCATGCGCGAGACTACCATACCATACCCCGGAAAAAGTTGGAACCCTGCCGGGCGCGCGGGTGCAGAGCCCTTGCTCTGGGTGGTGAGCACGATGAACATGCCTGAGAGGTATGACACGCTGCCGAGGGTCGAGCTCGAGCCTCCCCGCCGAGTGGGCCGACCACGGGGCCCAGCCGGGTTGCAGGCAACCTCGCGCATTTTCATGCTTTGCCTGGACGCAGGATGGACAGAGGAGCAGGAACTGACGGTGAAGGAGAAGGGCGCGGATAAGACTATCACGAGGGAGCTTGTTGGACCGCGCACGCTCGCCACCGGGCAGCTGTGCGCATGCTTCGCGCTCACAGCCACCCAGAGGGCAAGCTGGCTGAACCGCAACGTCATCGAAGGAACCTGGATCAAATCAAGCAGAGCGACGAGATGGGGAGGTTCTACGCCGAGTGCCGCGCGGCCGCCGCTGCGGAAGGCCCAACACACCCCGCTGCACCAAGCAACAGGCCATCACCACAGGTGTCCGAGGTGCTGCAAACTCCTCCGCCCTCGCCACAGCCGATCGACCTCGACGCATCTCCGCAGAGGCCAGGACGACAAGAACAAGGGCAACTTTGACGAGCTTTGGGGCAAGTCCTACCCTGAGTGCCACGACATGTGCCTCTTCAGCCGCGGCTGCACCGGCGCGCCTCCCCCCCCCCCCCCCCACACACACCCGCCCCCCCCACCTCAGCTCCTTCCTCTTGGTCGCAGCACACCGCGCTTTGGCCCGCGCAGGGATCGAGATTACACGAGATTACACGAGCTTACTATACGAGATTGCCATCTGGCCCGCGCAGGGTTCGAGTACGCCGTCGAAGGCAAGGCGTCCCGCTGCAAGCTCTTCAAGGCCCCCATCCTCTCGACGCTGCCCGTCGGCGGCGCGCGCTGCTACAAGAAGGCGTCCAAGACGGAGCTCGGGCCGCACAAAAAGCGGCTCTAGGAGGGGGGGGCGTCGGACGGCGTCCCAATTCTAGGGGGCGCCCTGCGGTGCTTTCGAGGAGGCCGATCGATGCGCGGCCCCGTTACCCTCGAGGCCGATCGGTAGGCCGACGTGGACCGTGTCGCTAAGTGGATGGAGCTCCATGTACGACCCGCAGGGTCGACGGCGCAACCGCAAATCGGAGACTGCAATGGGAGTGAATCGCTAATCTGACTGTACGATGACGTGGAACGCCACGGTCCTGTGCTCATTACCAGGATGGCATGTGCGCGCTCGGCGCGGGCTCGGATGCGTGTACACGCGTCTGAGAACGCGTTGGCTCGCAATCGGGTTTGTCTTTTGAAACGAGTTTTTTCCCTCTTGTTTCTTAAGGGGCAAACGCAAAGAACCAAAGCCGGCTTTCCCCAAAAGGCCGGTGGTTTTCTCGTTTTTCATGCACACCCGGACACAGCCGAGCCTCAGGCGTCCAAAGTGGGGGCTGTGGGGTAAACACGGCACCGGAGGCTTGGCCCGGGGGCGAAGTGAGGGGGCGGCGAGGGCGATCGCGAGCACCAAGGCGACTTGCGGGAATCACTGCTACCCCCCGCCGGCAGCGCGAGCTGCCGGCCACATTGAGCGGTTCGTCCGCGTCGCGCACACCCAACCGGGGGCCGCAGACTCGTTCTGCGCGCCAACGGCTGGTGACGCTGTGTTGCCCTTGAGCTAGTCCTTCCCCGGTCGCCTGCCTTTGCGCTGTCTGGCGAACGCCTGTATGCCATGCGCGCGGACCACGCTTGGATGCGTGGATACGTGGCTGGCAGGCTGCCCCTGTGTGCGGGGTAACCCGCGCACGGGGAACTTCACGGGTTCGAGTCGTCAAACATTAAGCAGCGGAGGTGTGCCGAGGGGGACCGGGAGGCGGTAAGTCGTCGTCGCCCGGCGCTGCTTGCAGCATGGCGATGGCGCTAAGAGGTTCCTCTTTTCCGCGCCCCCCCCGCAAGGCGCGCGATACACACCCAACCCAACAACCCAAGCAACCCAACCCAAAACAACACAACAAAAAGCACGATTCTCAGATTGGGCCCTCAGACTGCTCCGCCCCTACGTAGCAATCTCGCCGGCCGCAAGGCACGGACGAGACCACGTGTGGGGCATGAATCATACCTTACCAAAAAATCCGAACCACTTTTTTTGCGTTTTTTTATTGTTGTGGATGGCTACGGCGCCCGGCGGCAGCAGCAGCACCGCCATCGACCTCGACGCAGCCCCGCCCCGCAACAGGACTGCTGGCGCCCCGATCGACCTCGACGCATCTCCGCAGAGGCCAGCCGCCGCCGCTGGAGACCAGCGCGCTGCAAGTTCGCCGAGGACTGGACCTGCAGTGGGCGCACCGAGCGTCGTGTGCCTATCCTCCGGCGAGGACACTGACGACGAGTGCCGCGAGGTGCTAGCGCCACCACGTCCGGCGCCCGGCCCCGGCGGCGGTGGCGGCGGCAGCAGCAGCGGCGGCGACCTGGACGGCGAAGGGCTGGTTGTGACGGGCACATCCGGCGGGCTGCTCGCGGAGAACCTGCCGCACCCGCGCTGCGACTGCCCACTCAAGCAGTTTGTTGCGCGAGGCGCGCGCCGCACGATCGCCACAAACGAGGCGTCGTGCGACCGGTGCTACTGTTTTGTCTGCGAGTGCCGTGCGCGCGAGTGCAGCCAGTGGCGCTCATCAGACGCCAAGCGGCCGGCGCACTGCAACGCGCATAGTTCTACCTGCCCCGGGGCTACCGGCGCCTCGATCTGGCGCGCGTTGCGGAGGGAGAGGAGGGAGAGGCCGCGCGCACGGCACGCGCCGCCGCCGCCCGCCTGCGCACACGGACCGTGAGCGATAGCCGCCTAGCTGGGCGCGCGCTTACTTGCACTCTCACTGATACGGCACCGAGAGGAATTCCACCTGTGACCTCTACACTGAACACTGTAGTATGATGTATGTATGTAGGAAGGTGAAGAACAGTTGTATGAGATGTTGAATTCCAAGTATGAGGTAGTAGTATGATAAATCTCGGTGATTTTATTTTTTCTCGCGAGGGAGTTTTTCGTGCGCGCCAGTCCCGTGCCCAGTGTTGTGCGAGGGAGTTTTGTGCTAAAATTCTTTTTTCGGTTCTTGTTTTTAAAACCCCGCTTCTCTCTGTATATGTTCTTTTTTTTCGCACATAAATAAAATAAATAAAACGGGCACGCCAAACGAGGGGTGGGAGAAGGACAGGGTCCCCACCCTGCACGAGCAGGATCTTGTAAGGACGATCAGGGACACAGGGGAACGGGAGCGCGGAGCGCATCGCGACACGGAGGGGGGCTGGGTGTGTGAGTGAGTATTCTTGATACGAAACCACGACGACACCACACCAGTCGACTCGCATCGGTTGCCTCCATGAACGGCGGAGCTATTCTCGCGTCCACACCACACCTGGCTCCAACATGGACACGCCCATAGCTGGGGACACTACTAGGTCACGCATGGCATCAGAAGTTTTATCTCTGGGCCCCGAAAGGCATCTCTAGCAGCGTCGTTACGCACAGGGTTCACCCTGAAAGAAAGAAAGAAAGAAAACACACAACCCAAGGGAGGGATGGGAGAACGGCACGCCGCCACCACACAGGGATTTTAAGGAGAGGAGTGTGACATCACCCTGGAAAGAAAGAAAACAGACACGCCAAACGAGGGATGGGACGAGGACAAGGTCCCCACCTGCACGAGCAGGATTTTGGAAGGACGATCAGGGGGACAGGTGGGGCTCTCCTGCTCCTGACAAGGGACACGACAGGCTCGCAGCGCGGTGCGCGGTGGACTCCCACATCCACTGGCGGTCTCATCTCAGTCTAGCGACCTGCCTCCAGCTTGTCGCTGGCAGTCTCTCGCACATGCACACTGACACAGGGGTGGCAGGGGCGGCGGCACGAGTCTCCCACATACTATGCGGGCCTCACTAGAGGTGCGGCCTGTGCGTGTCCTCGCCCTTGAGGGGGGAGGGGAAGGGGCTGTGTGTCTGTGCATGTGTGTGTGTGTGTGTGTGTGTGTGTGTGTGTGTGTGTGTGCGTGTGCGAGCCGCCCTGAACGCCACGAGCGCGCCGCGAGCGCCGTAGCGCCGGTGAGCGCCGTCGGCAGCGCGCGACCGCCACCCAAAAGTGGAGGTACATTAGGAGCCGCAGCCGGCCTGCTCTATCAGCCCCGCAGCCGCGGTGGCGCGACCGGACCGCGGTCGCTCCAGGCGCCTTTTGGCCCCGGTTCGAATCGCGGTTGGCGCGCGCCCTCGCGGAGCGACGCGTGGCGCGCGACGCGCGCGCGTGCGCGTGCGCGCCCAGCCGAGCCCTAGGCCGTATGCCGTATGCCGTCTGCCGTCTGCCGTCTGCCGTCTGCCGTCTGCCGTCGGCCGTCGGCCGCCGCCGCCGCCGTAGCGGCGGCGAGCCTGCGCTTTTCCGCCGACACCAAATACTTCTTTTTTTTCTGCTGCCCCACCAGCACATGACGTTGAGCCGGGAGAAGGATGTTCTCGCCAGCGTGTGCACGGTCGCTTCTGCAGTCGAGCGCCTCGAGGCAGCATGCTCGCGCTTCAAGGCCCTCGGCGAGAGCTCGGCAATCGGCGCGCCGGCAGACACCGCCGACCTCCAGTGCAGCCTCGCCCGTGGCCGAGACCAGCTCTCGGCGCTCGAGAGCACGCTGCGCGCGCTGCACAGCAGCCGTCAGGTGGTCGCCGTCGCGCCCACGCCGGCCGAGCTGCAGCCGCCGTGCGTCGACGTCACGTACTCCGACGGCGGGCGCCGTGTCTCCGCCGCGGGCCGCGACGCCTCCGGACGCTCTGGCGGTGCCACGGCCTCGGAGGCGGCTCTCCGGCTGGCGATCCACCGCGAGCGGGCGGCGGCGGCGGCGGCGCTCGCGCGCTGTGAGAAGGAGCCGCCTCGCCTCACCCGCACTCGCCCACGGCCCTCACTGCCTCCCTGCCTCTCTATCGCCCACGCTCGCCCACCGCCCTCACCCTGCTCTGCTCTGCTCTCCACCAGCACCACCGCCGCCGCGCTGCAGTGGGCATCTGTTCTCTCTGCGTGTCTCTGCCTCCCTGCCTCTCTATCGCCCACGCTCGCCCACCGCCCTCACCCTGCTCTGCTCTGCTCTCCACCAGCACCACCGCCGCCGCGCTGCAGTGGGCCTCTGCTCTCTCTGTGTGTGTGTCTCTGCCTCCCTGCCTCTCTATCGTGATCACCGTCGTTGCCCCCGCGATCAACAACCTATGCCCACTCGCCACCCCGGGGTGGATCTCCCCATATCTCCCCCATATCTCCCCCACATCTCGCCACCCCGGGGTGGATCTCCCCATATCTCCCCCATATCTTCCCGGGGTGGGTGCAAGGGAGAAGGGGACAGAGGGCCACACTGGAGGAAGATCCTCGCCCGAAGGGAATGGGGCTTAGTGAGTTAGTCAGAGGTGAAGACACACAGCTTGACCAGCGACGGGTCACCCGGCGGTGCGTCGGGGCGGATGCAAGGGAGACGGTCACACTGGAGCCACACACAGAGACCTCACAGACGGGACACTCACGGGGCAGTCAGTCAGTCAGTGTGTACACACCTCCTAGCATGGAGGACGGGCCCACACGCACACACACGCTGCGCACGATTGGCTCGGGAGCCGACACGAGGCACGCTGTCACCGGCCGTAGCACCGGGTCCGGACTGCTGGACACACAGGACACTCACGGGGCCCAGGGTTGCGGCTCCTACCCAGAAGGGGGTCTGTTCCCCACGGTTAGACCCTATGCAATAGGTAGGTAGGTGGGGCACGGAGCCTGGCGATTGGCGCCCGCAATAGGTAGGTAGGTAGGGCGTTTTGGTGCGAGTCGTGGGTAACAGACCCCCTATCTGGGTAGGAGCCGGAACCCTGAGGAGAAGCGTGCTCGCCTAGCTCCCCATATCTCCCTTAGGGCAAGGCGTCGCATCTCTCCCCAGATCTCCCCAGATCTCCCCAGATCTCCCCAGATCTCCCCAGATCTCCCCAGATCTCCCCAGATCTCCCCAGATCTCCCCATACCTCTCGCGCCGGAGCGCTCCGAGCGATGCCTTGACAGCGATGCCATTCACAGCGATCCCTTCACAGCGGCTCGGCCGCGAACCATAGGAGCTGCTGCTAGCGCGGCGCGGAGGGCGGAGGCGCGCGTCGCGCCCCTCCCGGCAGCAATCCGCTCGATCGGCGCGACCGGCCTCGCCGCGAGGGGCTAGCAACGGCGAAGTCGCCGCCAACGGAGTCGCCGAGAGCTCTAGCAGTGGCCTTGGCGGAGGCGGAGGCGGAGGCGGAGGAGGAGGAGGAGGAGGAGGAGGAGGCGGAGGAGGAGGCGGAGGCGGAGGC